TCCACACCTCGTAACGGTTGGAGACCCCCCCTGCTTTAAAGCATCAGGCACCCTTTAGCGTTTTCCCCAGCCCAGTTGTGTATTCATACACAACTGAATAAAACCCAAAGACTTTTAGCACTTCTTAAATACTCAGAGAAAGGGATCGTTTGGGGAAATTCCCTAGCCTCAGTATTGTGATGTGTCTAGTTTGGGTTTGTTTCTTAAAAATGGGAGGGGGGGGGGAAACACCAGTTCCTATGTGGCCTCCAGATACCAACAGCACAAAAGAGTTGCTGCAATTTCAATGCTGACAATGCTAATAATTTACAACCATAGTCCAGTGAAAAATAAACAGCCACCCTGAAAGTGTTTGTCCTCCTCTTATTTCTTGTGCTACGGACCAAACCCCCCCAGCTTATTGGAGATGCAAACAGGCCTTTAACCTCTCTCAAAAATAAGGGATGGGAAAAGACATTCCTTAGGTGATTTGTTTATATAGCTAGAGCAACACACACTAAAAAAATAATAATAATTAATGTACTTCTAATTTCAAAGGTTTTGTCGATACTACCTGTTGGCTGAGTTTTTTAAGGTAAGAGATAACACTGTAACTAAGTCCACAATCTAAATTATCTGATATCAGATTTGGAGCTCCCATCATCCTTAGGGCTTTCTTTAATGGCTATAAGGAAAACAAAATACACAAGAGTAAGAAGAGAATCAAATCTTTTTTTTTTCTTTTCTTTAAAGAAATTGTTTGTTTGTTTTAAAAAAAAAAAAGTCTCAACAGATCACAGTACATGTGACATTAAGGGCACAGCAGAGTTGGTGCTCCAGTATATGCTGTGTTTTATTTATTTTTTTAATTATTGGTTGTTGTTTTTTGGAAGCATGGATTCAAAGTCGTACATTCGTCGTTTAAAGCATTCTCATCGTGGGTGTCTGGGCCACGGAACCAGCCTGGCACCCCCACCAGTTACAGCACAGAAGCCGGAGAGACCCTGATTGCCGGGATGATGCAAGTCCACAATGAGGCATCTTGCCCAAGCTATCCAGGTAAAATGTCCATGGAGCCCACCTGGTTTAATCAGCTTCCCTCCCATCTCTGGCTCGGCGCCAGGCGCAGGGTTAAATGCTGCCCTCTCCCTTGCTTATACTACTAACAGTAGTAGCCCCGAGATCTGAAGTTAATGGACCCAGAAAAGGCGAAGGGGAGGAGGGAAGGAGGGGGCTGAAAAAATAATACACCCCCCCCCACAAATCCGATATGCTAGGCGACGATTCCAAAATGTTTTTTTTTAAAGGGGGGGGTGGGGAAGTACTAAACTGCAAGCATTAAGAACTTCGGAGCCCTGGCATGCAAGGCGTTCGACTCAGAAAGACATGCGAAAAGGATGTTCTCGCGGGGGAGCATCCCGTCAGCGGTTTCTTTTGGGCCCGTAGAAAGGACAAAAACTACATACCACTAAGTAGTAAGGAGGCATGGTTTTTATGTAGCTCTCCAATGCCTGTCGCCACTTCAGATTTGGCTTAAGTTTGTGGAACTTGAAAAGGTCATCTGCAAAAGAGGAGAAAACAATCCGAGTTATTAAAAAAAAACACCTGTGCCCCCCGACACTTGGAGACGTCAAAGTAACACAACTATTTCCTGCACCAGGAGATTATTATTTTTTTGCCCCCTTAAGGACCAAGATCCAAAGGGATGAGGGTTTCCAAGATCAAATCCCATGTTGGAACTGGCCGAAGGTATTTTGGCTTCTAAAAGACACACAGAACGCTAATCGTCTGCCACAACTCCATCCAGGGGTTACCGCATAAAAGCAACGTGTCTTAAGAAAAGACAATTTGGCCTAGGGGTGAAGCCAGTGGAGCAGGAAACCCTGAGCTCCAGAAGACAACGAGATAAACCTTGGACCAATTCACTCTGCGGCTTTCTAGGAAAAAGGGAATGACAAGCCACTTCCAAAAATGTTGGAACTGGTTGGACGTGTCCATGTATCCACCAGTAGTTGTGTCTGACACAAAGGCAAAAGGGGGGAGGGGGGACACAGAAATTGTGTTACTTTAGCTTGAGAGCTCCAAAAACGGTTCAGAAACAAGTGCTTCAAAACAGGCTGAAACCCAGCACTTTTTTTTTCAAACCTCTTTTCAAATTTCTGCCTGAAATAATTTTTCAAAGCATGCCAGGCAAGCCTTAAACGGAAGCCGGGGGGGTCTTTTCCTCAGCTTTCGGTGCAGTGTGTTTCCTTGCAACATAACAAGAAGCTGAAGTGAATGGGGTGGGGGGCACTCCATGATCTGAGCTAATCTAATTGTTTTAAAATAGGCAACCTAAGGGACCGATGGAATTCCTGATAAAGCTCTTACTCAACTTTTCCCAATAGAAAAGGGACCTCAAAACAAGCCATCAGGAACAGGCCCGCTTTTGGGAGGCACAACTGGGTGGGAATTCTTTTTCCAAAATTCAACTTGACAAAGCCAATCATCTGCCCCCGGGGCTAACTATCACACACCCCCATGCCCCCCCAGCGAGAGACCTCCATCTCATGCAACTCTGTAGCCTTCCACCAAGAACTGGGAAGGGCAACTTAGAGAAGAGCCTTTGTTTTAACATCTCCATTCAGTATCTCTGCCAATCAGGTGAGCAAATATTCTCAATTTTTAATATAGCAAATATAACGATTGACAAAAAGGGGGGGGGGGGCAGGAGCAGACAACATAATATGAGGAGCGGCCAAATCAAATCTATGTAGTTGGAAGCCACTAGGGATAAAACAGGAGCAATTTATCGTGTAGGTTTCTTCACCTACACACATATATATTTGAAAAAAGTATTAAAGAAAAATAGCAAAGAGTTCCTGTTTTCTTTGACCTACAAGAACAGAGGAAGATCTGAAGCAACAGGAAATCTCGAGTAAAATCATACCACCACCGCTCCACCAAAAAGGAGGGGAAAATAGAATCTCTTATGTACCAGCAGTTCTCTCTTCCAAAATCACCCTTTCAAAATACACCCCAAAGCACAATTTAGGGCGCAAGAATAAGCAGAAAGTGTTTCTGAAGTGGGAAGGCCAAAAATAAACTAATCCACGATCTGTCTGAATTTTTGCTACGCTTTTGTTCCAACGAAACAAGAGAGCTTAGAGGGATAAAATAAATAAAAAATTGTTTTTAGGAAGAAACTCAAGGACTTAAATCGGTAAGAAATCCAGTTGGGCTCCTGGGTATATTCCTCAACTGAGGCAAGAAAGAGAGAGCACAAGGGCATCCACGCTTCCATGTATCATTCCCCCCCCCGTTTGCAAAAATGACCCAACCGCAGAGCAAACATCTTGGCTGTGAGTCATGCAGCCTGGGATCTCCACCCTGCTGTTCCAACGTTTGGTCAGCTGGACCGAAAAATAAAGACCTAAAAAAGCCGAACCCGTGAAGGCGAGCTAGAGATGATGCTGGAAAAAGAAATCAGCCTGATGTTTGTTTTCGGTTGGGAAAACAAGTGGCCGGCAGAGAAAGGAAAAATGGCACAGCTGTCAAGGACAACAAAGAGGCTCAAAACTAGGTTTCCGTCACTTCCAAGGCAGGGGGAATCGCATGCACTTCTGAACCGCCAGGCCGGGGAGTTCGAAACGGGGCAGGACGAGGATTGGGACTGGCCTGCACAGCGAACCAAGAGTCGGGAGTTAATGGGCAAAGCTGAAATTGGGCTCAGGGACAAGGAGAAAAACACAACAAGCACCAACACCCCCGAGGTGTTTCCTTCCACAGCCTTCGCAAGTCAGAAACTCATTTTACCCTTTCAGGCAACGGCTGACCAGCGGGATCCGCAATGAATTCAGCAGGCACCTCGAAAAAGGACTCGCCTTCTACTAAATTTGGGGGCAACTTCCATTGGCAAAGTTGCTTCACAATCCGTGTGAGTCACCACCACCACCATCATTATTATTATTGTGGCAACTCTGAAGAAGAGGCTATCTGCTTTCTACTGGGAAGGAAGGGTAACGGGGGCACCTAGAGGCCACCCAGAGGCATTCACGTTTGAGCGTGGAGCCTGGGGCTCGGGTGAAAACAAAACGGGGCTCCTTCTACCATACGTTCCGCCTTCGGGAACCAAAAACTGTACACGCAGCGAGGCCACCTGGGTTAAATGCAGCACTGCAGGCTTCTTCAGCTGACTGCAAGTTTAGCAGTTTGGCTGTTCAAATCCCACCAGGCTC